GGTGTTACAAAGACTGCAGGGTTGCAATAGGTGAAGTGCATGGCCGGGGGCGCAGGGTCCGGAGGCATGGGGGCTGCCGGGCAAACCGTGAAGCCGGTAGCGCTCGGGCAGCCCTTTTCACGTGGCTGAGAGGGAGGAGGGGGAATGCGGGGTGCTCAGGGGAGGGGGCGGAGTTAGGGTGGGGACTTTGGGGGAAGGGGCGGAGTTGGGTGGGCTGGGGGTTGGGAAAGAGGCGGGGCCAGGACCCCGTGGCGTGTCCTCTTTTTTTATTTTTTAAATATGGTAACCCTAAATACAGTAAAGACAGCACTGTGAAGAAATCACCGTTGTAACAGTGCAAACTAGGAGAACAGATAGGAGGGGTGGAAAACAGGGAAGAAAGTTTCTAAATATAGGGGTCACTAGTGGATTCTCCACAATGTGCCTGACTTGTCTTGCTGGGTCCTTGTCACCCTTATCTATCCCTTTGATTGGTGTAAACGAAAGGATCCACAGAAAAGCTGCTGATGGCAGGGGTGAAAGTAAGGCGGTACGGGCCAGTAAAAATGGCATACCAGTAAAAAGTGGCTGCCTGTACCAGCCCATACCACTGACTTTAAAGCCCCTTTTGCCCCTTCCGGCCACTGACAGAGGGGGCAGCGGCCGGAGCCCTGGGCCCTTTAAATCACTGCTGGCAGCGCGGGCGAGCTGGCTGGGGGACCCTGACCCCCCAGCCCTGCCCCTTCTGCCCGAGGCCCTGCCCCTTCCGGGGGGCAAAGCTGCCCCCTCCCCGTACCGGTAAGAGATAAATTTTACTTTCATCCCTGTCTGATGGTCAGAATGGTGGCAGGGGTGGGGACTGGCAATCAGGACTCCGTTTCCCATTGGGCTAGGTGCTTAGGACTGCAAATTCGAAACTGGCTTCTCGTTCGAGTTGAATTTTGGGAGTCCCCGGGTTGAGAAACCTACGACTTGATTTTTCCAAGGGTGCTGTGCATCCAGAGCTCCTGCTCGCTCCCATAGGAACTGCCAATCCTCAGCGCTTATAAAAATCAGACCCCTCCCAAATTTTCAAACTTGGGTACTTAAAATTAGGCACCCAATAAGCAGTCAAAATGAGAAGCCAGCTTTTGAAAATGGAGACCCCTATTTCCCTTAGTTCAGGGGTGGCCAACCTGCGGCTCTGGAGCCACGTGCGGCTCTTCAGAAGTT